CCCCCCCCCCCAAAAAAAAAACTTTTCTGGATCCACCACTGACTTGAAGTGTCTGCCTGTCTGGCAACGGACAAAGTATCATATGACTATATATGGCTTAATAAATTAGTTCCGGTTCCGGCCGGAAACTGGAAAAAAGTTCCGGCCAGATCCGGTTACAGCCGGAACTTAAAAGACTGGTTCCGGTGCACCCCTAAATATGGTACTGTACATAAACATGATAACATACCATCTGTGCTGAACATGTGCCAACCTCATTATTTTTGCCAGTTCTAGTCACTAGGCTTTAACATGGCAGATAAAATGAATTTATTTAAATAGAACACCATCAACATTTGAATTTGATTCCACAATTTACCTTTCAGTTGCGATATTATTTTACTTTGCATTTGGGAATTATTGTAGTGTGAACCAATCCTTGAACGATAGATCTCCATTGCGACACCCATAATTCTAGTCAAGTGAAACAGTCAATGTTGTTTTGTCATGTATTGGTATAGACCATTTACCTGCAAGTTGGCAGGGCAGTTGTAGTATAATCCCCAATCTTGGTCTTTTTATATATACCCACACAATGGCAGTGCCACAGTGGTATCTTGGTAGCATGCAGTGGCACAGTGGCTTGTTGATATTTCAGGCAGTGGCATACTGTAGTCACCACAGTGCCAGTAGCTTGCAGTGCTAGACTTGCTCCAAGTCTCCCTTTCATTGTCATATAGTATCGATCCACTATAGTGTACATTACATGACGTAGCACGGAGAGACGGAGCGAGAAAGAGAGACTTGTCAACTTTGGAAAATCTCGGTTCAAAACTGAACCGAAAATGCAAGACTTGCTTTAATTGTTTTCCTTCAATTTCTTTCTGTATCATTTACTATAATGGAACTCATGTTTTTACACTGTCCCAGATCAATACATACTGTATAAACACTGACAGAAAACAGTTAAAGCGAGTCTTGCATTTTCGGTTCAGTTTTGAACCGAGATTATCCGAAGTTGACAAGTCTCTCTTTCTCGCTCCGCCCCTCCGTCATGTAATGTACACTATAGTGGGTCGATACTATATGACAATGAAAGAGAGACTTGGAACAAGTGGCTTGCCTGATCCAAGATCAATGCAAGCACAATGGCTTCGTTTAGTTTTGCAAAATGGTGCCCGATCAATTATTTTGACCACAGCTGACGAAAACAGCGTATTTTTACAAATATAAATCACAAAATTCGATTTAAATGCTCAAAAATTACTCACTGTTATTCTGTTTTTAATAATGCAAGATGGTTTTTGCTTTGTAATATGTGTACCCCTGCTGTGATTAAACTGAACAAAAGGTCGATATAAATACACACAAACAATACTCTCCGTTGCATGGCGTTGCTTTATAACGAACATCTGCCGTCAATTTCCGAAAAGTGGACATCTTTATACCAAGAAGACCCAGGACATAAGGTTGTGTATCTCTCTCACATCCAAACGTTCAGCTAACAACGTGGGTAGCCCACAAACAGGCTACCCACAAAAAGCTGTGCTTAGTCGCCTGAGTGGTTATATTACTACCTTAACAAATAAGCAGAAACTCGACGTTTCGAGCGAAGGCCCTTCGTCAAGAGTTACTAACTACTAACTCTTGACTACTAACTCTTGACGAAGTCGACTAGTCTATTAATTCTTGACGAAGGGCCTTCGCTCGAAACGTCGAGTTTCTGCTTGTTTTTTAAGGTAGTAATATAACCACTCAGCACAGCATTTTCACATTGGTACTACTTACACTGGTACAGACAGTTTTAGTATATATACCCACAAAAAGGAAGGGCCCAGAAAAGAAGCAAGCAGGGACGCGAAACACTTTTTACTTGACCTAATCACTAGTCTAGTGAATACATATCGACTTTGAGCTAAGGCCATTTTTAGTGCAATGTTTCCATGGAAACATTGCAATATTGTGGTGGCAAAAATTCAACCGAGAGAGTCATAGGGTGCTCGCAACGTTCTATTTTTGTGTTATATTGTATGAAATGCGACGGCTCAATACGTCTACTTTTTCCAGCACTTGAAGATTGTTATTTTAGTGTATATAGCCTTATACAGTATATTTTTTAGCCTAATGAAATTGTGAAAGAATGTTTGATATATTATCGTCCTTATCGTAGTATTCATATATTTGCACTTGGCGATTTATAAAAGACCGCACCCCCCATGCTCAACAAATTGGCACATTTATGAGCGATATTATATTTACATTCTTAATACCTAACCCAAAACATGTTGATGAGTTACTATATCAAAATATCAATGTCGAAAACTAGAGAATATTGTAGTATAAATATGCTGGATTTTGTCGACGATCCTGTAAAATGCGGATGTGTGTGTAATATACTGTATAGACGTCTTAATAATGTGTTTCCTGTCGTAAATATATAAAACCTGCAAATACCACAAAGAGGTCAATTTAAATTGTGTTATAATGTAGCTGTGAATTATATTGCAGCTAAAAACTGCAGATAACGTTTGACAGTTGTTATATTATAGGCTAACAATTTATATGCCTAGACCTATATCCCGAGTATAAAGTTCAACTTCAAATATTGCAAGTTTGCGTAACTATATATACAGTGGCAATAAAAAATTGTGGAAATTAGATCGTACTAAAAGTATAGGTCATTAATACCAAATTTACGTGCAGTACGAAGAACTGAATTCGTGTAAAGTGTACGGCAATAACAGTGAAAGTACAAACAAATATCATTACTATCATTTCGTAATAGAGTTGTAAGGGATATTAGAAATAGTAAACAACAATATTACCATAAATATTTTAATCAAAATCAGAATAATATGAAGAAGCTGTGGTCGGGTATTAAGTCTATTATTAATTCTAGTGATAATAATCTTAGAGCTGCAATTCATCTTGATGGCATCAATGGTAATTTAATAACTGACTCGGAGGCTGTTGCTAATACTTTTAATGATTTCTTTGTCCATGTTGGTAAACAAACAGAGCAATCTGCTCCTATGGGTTCAATCCCCTTCACATCTTTTTTGAAGGGTGATTATGGTAATTCGTTTTATTTTTCCCCTGTTTCTGAATTTGAGATTTCGTCAGTTATTTCATCTCTTAATTGTAGCAAGTCAGCTGGACCGAATAGCATACCCATATATCTTTTGAAAATACTCAATAATAATATCTCTTTCTCTGTCTTTCAAAAATAATTAATGATTCTTTTTTACATGGCATATTCCCTGACAAATTTAAAATAGCTAAAGTTACGCCAATATTTAAAAAGGGTTCTAGAACTGACAAGAGCAATTATCGACCAATATCAGTTTTATCAATTTTCAGCAAAATTTGTGAAAAATTAGTTTATAAAAGAGTACTATAATTATTTAGAGTATCGCAATATTCTTAATGAATTTCAGTTTGGATTTAGAGCTAATCGCTCTACATCACATACATTATTAAGTACTTTTGAAAATTTGAAGGAGTTTCTTGACAAAGGTTCTTTTGGAGTTGGTTTATTCATAGACTTCAAAAAGGCCTTGGATACCGTTAACCATCATATTCTTTTAAACAAACTTGAATTTTACGGATTTAGAGGTGTTGCCAATAAATGGTTTCAGTCCTATTTGACAGGTAGAAATCAATATATCAATTAACGGTATTAACCCAAGCCTTAAAGCTATTTCTTGTGGAGTACCGCAGGGATCAGTTCTGGGACCCTTACTTTTCTTACTTTATATTAATGACCTGCCGTATTGTTCCAATCGATTGGTATTTCATTTATTTGCTGATGATACAAACATATTCTTTTCATCCAAAAATCTCAACTTGATTCAAACTACTTTAAACATTGAATTGAAAAATGTTTCACAATGGTTGAATGCGAATAGACTGCACTGTAAATCTCGCGGTGTTGCGGCAACACCAAAAAGGTGTAACATTACACTAATTAGGTGTAATGTGGAATTAAACACAGTTTGAGTGTAATATTACACTTCCACAGTGTAACTTTACACTATTTTAGTGTCTCGGTAACACTTACTAGGTGTAAAGTAGAAAATATTGTATTTACACCTAATTCGATGTAGATTTACATTAGAACGGTGTAACATTACCTCTTTCCCTGTTAATTTACACCTTGCGATAGTGTAAATATACACTTATTCGGTGTAAAGTATACCAACACTTGCGAAGTGTAAATTTACACTTTTCCTGGTGTATCATTACACCTACAACGCGTTAAAATACACGGAGCTGAGGTGAAGTAGAAACTAATGTATTAACTATTATTGCAGTGTAAATTTACCCTTAACAAGTGTAAATTTACCCAATTCTTGTGTATGGGATAACACCATGATAGTGTAAATATACACCGGAGTGGCGTAAAAATTATGAATGCTTACTTAGTGTAAATCTACACTGAACCATGGTGTATAATTACACTAAGACTATTTTAAGATACACTGATCTAGTGTAAAGTAGACACCGAAGTATTAACACCTTTTATGGTGTAAATTTACCCTCAAACGGTGTAAATTTAGCCTATTCTTGTGTATGAGATAACACCATGATTGTGTAAATATACACCGGTATGATGTAAAAAACATGAATGCTTACTTCGTGCAAATCTACACTGAACCTGATGTATAATTACACTAGACTATTTTAAGATACACTGATCTGGTGTAAAGTAGAAAATTAAACGAACTATAAACACCTGTTATGCTGCAAACATACCCTCAAACGGTGTAAATGTACCTAGCTAATTCTGGTGTATGTGATAACACCATGATAGTGCAAAGTGTAAACATACACCAGAATTTGAAGCTCAGATAGGCTATTTCCAGCATCTTGAGGAGTGTTCCAACAAGAAATTAACTTTATAAACAGTGACATAATTACTGCAATTTTACAATCTCCCAAATATAATCCAGTCCCAATAAGGCAACATGATGTGACGATGGCGGTAATGAAAATGTGCGTGGTATAGTATTATCATTCACCACACTTCAAATTTTACAGTACTGTATTCCTTTTTTTGGGTACTTGATATCGACGCATTCGTTTCTCAGTGTCACTGAACGGCACGATGGGGTGGTCTCTTTGGAGTATCTTTGCTTGGAAAAACTTAACTAGAACCTAAAATGTCATTTCATGCCTTTTTCCACGAGCCAATTATTTCAGCCATGGTTTAGGTTTCTGGCGATGTTTAAATTTCAGTCCCCAAAATTCCTACCGAGGCATGCAACTAACTCGGTTGACTCATAGCTAGTTACGGACCTGCAGATGATGGTCAAATTCAGAAATGTTAACAGCTTGCAACTTCATTTTCTCACTTTGATATACAATTGCTGGTTGACCACCTTCTGCAGATAGTTTTTAGGGACCTTGCACTGGGGAGGGGGGGGGGACAAAATTACTGACTGGAGGGGCCACTAAGAGGGCTGGGGGAGGGGGACATGTATCCGCAGTCTATATGTTAAAAGAGGCCCTGAGTCATTTTATCCAATTTAATTGGCCTGAATAGTACTCCTAGGAGTTTACGTGGAATTCGTCTTGGTTTATTTCATAATTATTTATATCCAATCTAGCAAAATTTCTACGGGGGCGGATTCGTAACTGTAGTCTCCAGAGCGGTAGATCTCCTACGTACAGTCAGACAGCCGTGATAACTAAAATTCGTAAAATTAGGTGTTATATTGCGTCGTAAATGCTTTGATTATTGTCGTTTAAGCAAGATATAATAAGACAGCTAGAATTTTGAAGATAGAAATTAGAATTAAAAGTTTCTGTCAAAAAACCGCAATACACTTTAATTTGCACTGGATTGTTCACATGATTGAGATCAGTCCCTTCAGTCAATCGCGTTGCCATATATGGGCTCCCAGAAGGCTTAGCGGGACACATTTCGAGCGCGTCCTTTGGAAATTTTATAACGCTGGTTGATCCCCGAGCCGGCGGCGCGAAGCGCCGTGCGAGGGTACTAATTCCCCCCGGCTATTTACACCCGGGGAAACGAAAGCATTAGGGAAGTCTGAAGTTCATCAAATATCGCGGGCGTGGGTCACTGTGCGTGTTTCGGTCACTGAGCTATACTATATTACTGGAGGACCTGCTCGGGATAAAAAAGTGTCCGCAAAAACATGGCGGATCTTACGCCATTTCCATGACAACACTTACTTTATTTTCATGGTAATTGCCACTGACCAACCGCGATCCTAAGCTTTTGAAGATGTCCTTAACCCCCCTGGTTTTTGCACAGATATATTTAATAATATAAAGATATTTCAAGTTTTCTGTTGTTTTTGAGCAAAAATCTTAATATTTCCCTCGCACATTACTTGTTTTACAACGCCGGTTTGCTTCGCTTGTGGATGCAGCTCTTTACTACAGAGAAACTAAAAAGAAAGACTATAAATTCTTTCAGGTAAGATTCACAAAACTTTTTTTGTATTAAACTTTCTAGACGACTAGCTAGTCTGAGACTCTGAGTCACTCAGTCCACTAGACCCTTCATATTATGTCAAAAACTCATCATCCTATTAATATATACAGCAAATATTTCATACATAAAAATATTGTTGATTAAATATTGTGTACTACATGAAATTATGTTGTTTTCAGTGTCAGCACTGGCCTGCCCTTTGTGGTTTTAATATTGCCAGACTGACAGTTTTTAATTACTTGTATAAATTGTGGTTGTTTACATGTTCATAAAGGTTTAATATGGTGTGAAATTTATATACTTGCCCATCATAATGCAGAATTAATATATATAGATAGCACAAGACCAGAGAGACTTGAGTAGAGGAGGCCCACCTACATTTGACAATGTGCCCTAGCTGTTCTGATGAGCCCTATATAAAAGACTAGCTGTCTTTATTGTTTTACTCTGTCTGTCTAATGCCAGATGATTTTAAGAGGAGACTGTTCATGCTCACTGCTGCCTCGCAGTGGGTTAATTTAATACACTATCTGCCAATGAGCAGCCCCTGAGATATATCGGTCAGCCCATTAAGCTGCAAAATTATGTGCCCAAATGAACCCTAGCTACTTTCTTACTGGGACTGCAGAACAGGAGGGGCATGCTCCCCCCCCCCACACTTTTTTGGTGGATAATAAAAATTACCGGATAAAGTCTGGACAGCGCCTGCCTGTGTGGATTAGCTCCCATGCTATCCTGCCCCCCCCCCCTTTTAAACAGGCTCCATGGTCCCTGTTTTATTTTACTCTATCGGTGAGACTAAATCCAGATGTTTTACTCACCAAGGGAAGAGTCTTAAAAAATAGATAACATTTTACCATTGTCTGTTCAGAACTATATAAAACTATGTAGTTTACATAGTATATGATGTCATAGTTTGGAAGTGGTGATGTCCGATTGCTCTGTGAGAAATTATGACAAAATTTGCTAATAATAGTTTGACATATTTTAGCAGTTAGTTGGGAATGTAATTGCATTGCTGAATATGAAAACACAACACTTAATTTATAAGCTTGGATCAATAGACTAGTAAAATTGTCTGACATAATACAGTAAGGCAAAAATAATACAGTGAGGCACATCAAAACACATTGCCACTTGAGGGGTTAACATATGTGTATATCATATTTTGTGGTGTAAAGATGTATAATGTATCATGATAATGTCGTCTTTTTTTTTGCAGAAATGATCTGTTTAATATGCAAAAGAGATGGCACAGGCATCAACATGCAGAAGAACATGCAGAACAATTACAAAATGAAGTTATAATTACAATACCATGCATAACAATTATTATAATTAATAAATAATTATATGATTATCATAATTTTATTGAAGTGTAAATAAGTTTTATAGCAATTAAAATTATACATTTTTGTTTTTTAAATTGTTTACTGCTAATAATTTTACAAAAAGTCAAATACACCCTTCCAGAATGTATGTCACTTTGGCTATGGAGCCTTGTTTTCATGTATGTGGCATGAGTTTTAGTCCAATGCATGTCTCAATCATGAAAATTACTCTATAGCCTATAGCCAAGGTGACATAATTTCTGGAAGCATGTAAAATACAGTATGTTCAGTTTCCAAAGATGTGGCTTGGTACTGCATTTTTCCACCCACAAAGGAGTGTGTCATTGTGGAATAAATCTGCAATAAAAAAGAATAGATTAATTATACAGGTTGTACAAGAATCCACCAGTACCATAATTATAGCATATGATCAAGGTAAACATAAGGATGTGACCTAACATACTCCTCAGCTTAAACCAGTATCAGAACCATAAGTGTACTTATAAAGTAAATTGTTGATTCAGAGTGATATTTACTGAGAAAACTTGTAAGAAAACAGGCCATCCTGGGAATGAGGTGTGATCACACTGACACATGTAATGCCTTGGCACACACCTCAGCGAAACCTTATTACCTCAGCTTAGGGAAAAGTGATTTATCTCAAGCCTCTATATTACTATTTATATGACACAAAAATCAAGAAGTATTCCCAACCATGCAAGAAAGCTAGGTAGAAACCACCTTCCCAGATCAGCTGACAGCTTCCAGCACCCCCAGCTTATACATAAAATTAAGTGGTGCATAACACAAAACCTAATTCCCTCTTTTAAAACTAAAAGATAAGTCTGATAGTAGATGTCAAATAAGATATAAAAGTCTAAATAAAATTAAATATGAAAATACGTCTTTTACCTTTGTAAATCCGAGTGTAAATCCATATATTTCAAGTATTGTCTTTTCCCACATTTCTTGAGTTTTTAAAATTAGTTTGTCGTCTTTCACGGGCGAGATTAAACACGTACGACTTGGATATCTTTGACCAAATGGTCAAAGGCAGAAAGTTTATCTCGAAAATATTTTAAAAAAGGATTCAAAACAACGAGAAGTTGAGAACTATATTTATCTGCAAAAATGTTTTGCAAAAACCAGGGGGGTGTGAAAACGGCAGTGGGCTCAGAATTGAGCCTGGTCAGCAGTGCTTCCATTTTCAAGGAAATTTCCTTTTCTAAGGAAATTCTAGTGTCGAAAAGGAAAATCTAAGGAAGAGAAAAAATCTAAGGAAATCTAAGGAATTTTTCCGAACAACTTAAATATTCATCCAAGTGCATTAGTGCAGACGAAAGTTTCACTATTTCTTGAATTTTGAGTGAATCATCAATTATGTTTAATTAAAAATCTGTTTTTAACTTTTTCCTCGTGTTTCCGAAAACGTCTGAAAGTTTTTGAGGGATGAGATTTGGTAACTTTTGGCGCCAAACGCTGTGAATAATAATTATTCATATCAATGGAAGGTATATGCAGGGACCGCGGAGACGGGGGGGGGGCTGGGGGGGCTTTAGCCCCCTCACTTTTTTTGACAGCCAAAATTATTAAATTTTTAATAAATATTATTTTTAAGGAGGGCTTAAAATTGTTAAGATACTCTTAGTTTATAAAGTAGCCTAGTAAAAGGATTGCATAGAAGTTTGTAAAAGCTCTAAATTTTGTTACTTTTATGACGATGGTCTTGGAGATTTTTTGCTAAAGTTCCTCCAAAAATGCAGGAAATAGCGTTTAAGGTAATAGAAAATTGAACATTTTCCTTGGGGGTTTTATTGATGATTTAGCCCCCCCACTCTCTAATACGCTCCGCGGGCCCTGACATGTTGTGAATTCATAACAAATATTTAATTTTAAACAGTATTAATAGTTTATAATAGCCTGTGGTTTTTTAGCTAGCCATCATCTTTGTTAATTGTGCTATTTTGTGCCTTTAAAATTGATTAAATCCTTTGTATTACTACAAAAGCACTGCAAACCGCCTAATGAAATTTCAAGGAATTTTCAAGGAAATAACGTATACAATCTAAGGAATTTAGAGAAATTTTGATGACAAAAATGAGAAATTTTGATTTTGAAAATGGAAGCACTGCTGGTCAGTGGTACCTACCATGAAAATAAAGTAAGTGTTGTCATGGAAATGGCGTCATTTTCACTCAAAATCCGCCATGTTTTTGCGGACACTTTGTTGACTGAACGAAGTATAGGAGCAGGTCCTCCAGTTATTATACAGCTCAGTGATTGAGACACACAGGAAAGTCATTAGTTAACACTCAAAAACCTGTCAACTGCTTAGGGAAATTGTTTTGTATATTTCAAATGCCCCTGGAAACCCCTGCCCTGGAAAAAGGATGAAAAAGTCCTGGAAAACCCTGGATTTTTTAAATTATGAAGGTGTTTGAACCCTGATTAAAAATATTGTCTATTTTCATGTAAAATGTCAAAGCTTGTTTGTCAAGAACATTTGACAACTTTTGATCTGATGAACCAATTACATTTAACTAGCCTCATGTTGATTGTCTGAACTTTGTATGCTGGTCAGTGTAATACTACAGTATATGTACATTGAAGTTTCAAATTTCAAGCAAGAGTCGACAATGTTTTATTTGCAACTGTTCTCCAGGTATATTAATACATAATGTTAAACTAAAAGTCCTATTTATCTGTGATTATGTTTTTCTTTTTGTAGCTTTAAAAAAGACTCACTGTAGAATAAGTCAACAACAAGCTTGTTGTTTCATTACTGGTGTTCATCACATTAAGGATGTATCAAAGCCAGCCATCACACATAAGTATGTATAAAATCAAACAGCTGCAGTGTCAAGTATACACTACAACTGCCTACTACTGTCTTCACCTTCACTGGCTGTTCAAGATTTTATCATGTATAAAATCATGCTATTAATTTTGCTGCATTTACGGACTTACGGTAGTTACACAATAAAGGCAGACCAGTGGATGGGGGTAGAATAACTGGAATTTATATTCACATGAAAAGAGAGTTTTCTCTTCCAATTTGTTTGGTCTCCCATTGGGATAGGGGTTGCATCTCCTTAGAAATTTGTACAAACAGTTGGGCTCAGGAACATTTTCATTATTTAGAACTATATATATACAGTGTATTTAGGCCAAATAAAAAAAAAATGCTTGGTTAGCGTCACACTCCCACAATTTTCAGAGGCGGGAGGGCGTTTTTTTTTAAAAAATTTTTTACTCGTTTTTTAATTTTTTAATAGTATTTTTGGAGGGGATGGGGGGCGGTTTTTCCACCATATCGGTGATATTTTTTGTACTGATGTTGCGAAGGCCGCCATTTTGCTATAAGAATCTTGTATACCCAAGCCCACGGCGATGCTCCTATCAATCAGTATATAGCGTGAAGGTCTGAGCATAAGAGAAATTTCAAATATTAAACTGTTTTAGGCTATAAAACGAAGAGATTTACATAACAAAATAAAAAATTCAGAGGCGGCAGAATTTGAGAGGCGGGCGGTGATGCTAACCAAGTTTTTTTTTATTTGCCCTTACTTATCCTATTAAGTTGCATTGCACCCTTATTGTAAGCATCAAATGAACTATATGTTCCTTGGATCCAGTCCCCCCTTTAATATGCAACCCTTTTCATAAACAGTCACTTTGAGCTGTTATACAGTATCTCCAAAACTAAAAACTTAATAAAAAATGGAGATAGAACTTATTAATAATTAAATGTTTATGCTTTATTTGAATCACCGTGAATGCATTTTGGGTTTATGAGGTGCACCTTCATGAGTGAAGTCTTGACCTTTTCTTATCTTGCTTTTGAAAATGTAGCAATGAAATTATTTTTGCTCCTGACTTGGTTAAAGTCAAGGTATGGTAAACTATCAAATGAATGCTTTCATTTTTATTAATTTCTTTCCTGTATACTCAATTTTTACAAACGTTCTGAAATGTACCATATAAACTTACTCTTGGTGGTATTAACAAGCCACTCCAAATGAAATTCTAGTTTACTGTCCAGCTTGTATTCACAAATGCATGTGGGCATGGAGTCCATTGTCATTATTGACAATCCAGAAAGTAGCACTATTTTCTGAACTCTTGGGAAGCCCATTTGCAAAACACTTTTCAATACATGCAATTTCGATCCAGTATAATTAATAGTTGTTTACAGCTTACTGCTTAAAATGCATTGAAATCATGAATTGAAAGTCGTGAAAAATGAGCGAGAGTGCATATTATTTAAGTCAGAATTTTAACATCTTTATATGTCAATATGTGGCAAGTCAATGGAAAGTTTTTCTTGCATGCACTCTCAAAATTTATCACAATAAAACAACTTGGCTTAACTTCTTGATCGTTTACAATAAAATACAATTTAGCTCTCTCATACATGTTTTACATTACACTACTGTATTGTACCATGTTACAGTAACATAGAGCATTTTCTTGGTCATTTCAGGCAATGCCATTTAGTTTGCAAGAGGGTGGTAAACATATTGTTGACATTCTCAACAACACTACTGCATCTGTTGTGGTTATATTTGTACGGACCTCAGGTAATTTGTATGTAAGTTGTAACATACTGTAATTATTACCATGTTATATTTTACACTTTCTTTTCATAATGACTCAAACTGCAAACACGTACTCATTTGTTTATTACTGTCTTTCATTTTATTAAGAGGAGAATCTTTTGTATGTTACGTAACACGCGCTCAAAACTAATGCATATATTTCAAACTTGGTTGTGACTATAATCAATTTTTTAAATTTTTGATACGTTTCTCAAAGGCAAACAAACTTTAAAAGTACAGTATGTTTAGTGCTTTATCTGTGAAATAATGCTAAAATGAAGAGATTTTAGATGGTGTGCCAAAGAGAAAATGATGTTCTGAACACTTTTCACTGATCGTATTGCTCGCAGTCTACACTGATCGCAAATGCGCAACATTGTCATTGAAAATATGGATTAATAATGCAATAACGGCAGGGACCTTTGGCAAGCACGACTATACGGTCGCCTGCATGCCCGCTACAGCAAGAAAAAACTCGTGCAAATAAATTATTGTTAAAGAAATTAAGAAATCTTGCAGTCGTGCATTATCCATCCAACTAGGAAATTTTGGGTACTTCCTCTCGCAGCTTGAAATGTATGGATTGTATAACACGTGTATTGCCATTTTAAACAGAGCGAAGACAACATGTAAAACCCCTTAAGCTTTACGTATTCATTCTTTTCCACACTATGAATTTGTACTGTATGAATCGCCGGCTGCAGGGAACAGGGAACAGACTACAGGTAGCACATGGAGGAATATTGGTGAAATTATATTTGACCAACCGATGCAATGAGACTGAAGATGCAGGTGTACAAAACGATGGTAAGACCCGGTGATCCTCTTTGGCGCAGAGACTTGAACGTAACAATGAAGGAAGAACAAGTTATGAAATTGGAGGTAGTAGAGATGAGATGTCTACCAGCTATTAGAGGAGCGACAAGACGTGAGAGAATGAGAAACGAAGATACTGTATAAGAAAATAGTGACGAAACTGAGATACGAGAAAGTGGACTAAGATGGTACGGCCACGTGAGGAGAATGGAGGAAACGAGTTTGGCAGATGGGCTGCGTGCCGTAGCGTAGGGAATCAGGAAGGAAGGGAGGACGACCGAGGAAGCGGTGGATGGATTGTGTGCAGGATGATGGTAGATTGGTGGATCTGGACAAAGTTGACGACAGAATAAAGTGTAAAAAGGTGTCGAGGCGACCCGACCCCCCTTGAGGGGACAAACGGATGATGATGAATCCCCGGTGTCATCACGTTGCCGAACTTCTTGCTGTCATGTAAAGATACGTAATATGTCATCTGCAGTGATTTCCCCTCATTTCACACTTTTCATTCAAACTTGTATCTATATACCGAAGAATTTCGAAATCAAAGTCCTAAATTTCCAGTACGTATCTGTAATGTAACGACTTACATACCCATCTCTTTAATATGTAGTCCTTGCAAAAGAACTTGTTGAAGAACTAAAAGAAAATCATTTCAATGCCAAAGTTGTAGATGAGTCTTTAAAAGTAAGGTTAAATTCAAAGACACTGTCACTTTATCGATAATTTGTTGTTTTGATAGACTATATAAAAATTCGCTCACGAAAAAATAGTGCAATCCATATACTATGGAATCATATTTGCATCACTAAATGCATATACTGTAGTATATCCCATACTTTTTCTATACCGTATCCTGGTACTATGGGAATGGCAATTACAGTGGCATGGAAATTAGCCGTGCTGGTTACAGTATTTCCAACTAAGATCCATACTATTTCCTGCATAGAAACGATTTTGAAAAAAGTTTTCAGTGTAAGTAACTCCAGAATTGAACAAATTATGTATTACTAATATTTATTATATAAAGTATAGTGCTTTATAGAGATTTCGAGCACTGATAAAAGTGATAATCTCACATGTGAGATTATTCATGATAATCTCACATGTGAAAATTATCTCTTTTCAATTGTCGCTTTTCTGTAAAAATTATCGCTTTTCAAAGACTGTCCTTTATATAATAAACAGAAAAATACATGGGTGCTTGGAAATACCAGATTTATTTCTCGTGTTGAACATGATATCTCACTCGTTCGCTGCACTCACTCGTGAGATATCATGTTCAACACTCGAAATAAATCTGGTATTTCCGCGCACCCATGTATTATTCTCTATTTAATTTTCATGTGAATACATGCACTTTGAAGAAACGTTTGAGAATATAAAAATATCAATGAGAAAGGTTCATGTCGCCATGCACTCACTAATTCGTGATATAACCTTCGTAGAAGGAAACTTTTACAATGTCGATCGCGGCCTTCAGTATAGTATGTTACGTGTTAAAGCTTCGTGTTATGTCTAATATTAACCTTTCCCATAGTTTGATGTTGGTAAATTTGGACAAAGTATATTTGTGGTGAGTTGTTGAATTGCACATTACTATTTAACAAGTAAAAGTCTTCTATATACAATTAAAGAATGCATCATTGTCGAGGAAGGTTCTTGTGGACAACAAATTTAGTTTCCGTGATGCAGTATGTCATATAGTCATGATCGATCGTCTTTTCTGTTTTCCAGGTTAGTGATAAAATGTCTGTCATGGTTTCCCTACCTCCTGCAGATCTACTTATTCAAGGTGATATAATTACTGTCATGAATATTCTCCCCCCGAATATTTTCCCTCGTGAAACAAGACACCTTGGTTACTACATTACTCAACGTTATAATCAATGTATTTACGAGTGGAATGCTTTTAGCAAATTGTATAGCATAGCAATCTCCATTGTGTACCAGAATATGCCTTTCATTGTGACCTGTTTTCAACGAATCTGTTCGGATATTTAATAATGTAATGCTTAGGAATTAGGTTTTTCTCGCCCGCAGTTTCGTCTTTCCCGCGCCTCACGTCCCTAATTTAAAAACCTAACAATAATCTAACATAACTTTTAGTTCCTCAACAATTTTTGGCACATCAACTCTCCAAACCCTCAATCGCCAACTACGCAAAATGCAGTACGTTACATTAGGAAGGGGTTCTTGAATCCCAATTTCCGCGCTCAAATTTGCATATGTTCAATTTAGATATGTTCAATTTCTCGTTTCACGAATTCTAAAAGTCCCGAATCCCGCCATTATTGTTCCTTTCATCAATTATACAGTATTACCAAAAGAAACTTCACTCTATCATCATCGATCCATTGTGAACCCTTTTCTATAGTATATTTTGTTTATTAATTTCAGTTCAAGCCCCGCTATCTGGTGTTGATGTAATGAATCAACGTCTCCATATCAGTAACTTTACCAACACGCTGGGAGAAGCCGTGGTCTTATACAACAGTAACGATGTCAACTTTATATCCAAGGTATAGGGAGTATACTGTAAAATGTAAGAATCTTGAACTGTCTGTGCCAGTGTAGATAGTGCCAATAATATGAACAAACTTTCGTTGGTGGGGATGCAATTACCTGAAAAATAATAAGAGAACTTCGATGTTTCGAGCGAAGGCACTTCGTCTGGAGTTACTTCGTCCAATACTGTAACACACTATGTAATTCTGTCTTTAAATTGTTGGCGATTGTTTCCATGAAGTGATTATATGTTGAGTCAGTCGTATACACCATGGAAAGCAACTTGCAAAATACACGCTTCCAGATAGTACGTCACATTGGCTATAGAACCTCGTTTTCATGTTTGAGATGTTAGGTTTTAATTAACGTCACATACACGAAACCGAGGCTTCCAAATTCCAAAAGTTGTGAGAGGGTCCCATGTTTTTTTTGTTTTTTTTTTTGGGGGGGGGGCAAGGGCAGTATTTTTCCGACAAACTCAATTTGAAAAAAACTTTTCAGGAAAAGAACATTATAGTCCCCCCAACCGCCCCCCGCCCCCGTCGACAACTTTTATGGTAAACAATTTTCCGGACAAGAACGTTACAATTGCTTTCGTAGCACTCTTTCCGAACTAACACTCGGCAGGCCTGCGTATATGCAGGTATTCTTGACCACGAAGATTCCGACAACATTACCAATTTTCCGACGGGTCTCAACAATAGGGGGGCCATGGACCCCCTGCCCCCCCCCCCGGCCACGGCGCCACTGCTTATATACGTGTACTGTGTCAACATGGTTTTATCTTTCATCCTTGGCTTAGTCAAGGGAAAATAGTTTGTTGTTTTCTCTGTAGAAAGGTAGCATAACCTCCCTACAATAAATTAATGATGATTTAAAATTAGCTATTGATTGTACTTTTTTTACAGCTTGGTGAAATTGCTGAAGTAACTAATGCGAACTCAGTATCACAACACGTTCCAGTGCAAGATAAGAAACCGATGATAACAAGCAAACACGAGGTAATTAATAATTACACCCCTTTGAGTCAACCTATGTATTATCCACTAGTCAATTGCCCATAATGCTTTGCTCTGCTTGAGGTAAACGTTTTTTACTCTAATTAATCTTATTAAAGTTTGATTAGGAATTAACGTCTCCTTCATGCACTTTTTAAACGTGCTGTGCGAGTTTCTACTGTAAAGAGGACATTCGTTTTATTAATTTTTCAAGGTAAATTTACCTACTCTTCACGAGGACATAGAAAGCCCTGCAGTTTCGAGAAAAGTAAAAACTACTCTCTTCAAACCAGTGTATCCTCATCAGGGAACAAAGGTACAGTGAAGCATGCATGTTGTGGCGTTTGATTTGATAAAACATTGCTGTACCGTGGAAAGTTTGTGAGTTTACGGCAACCAGATTTATGACCAGGTCATTTTTTTACTCACTAATCCGGGTTTTAATAATTCAATGCAAAGCCCAGTCGAATTGCATTCACCACCCAACATTTCGATTCTGGAGTGTCTTCATCAGAAGTGAGACATTAGACTGGGGTGTCGAAACGTTGGGATCATTCAGCTGGGCTTTCGCCTTTGCATTCGTTAATTTATTTACTTAAAAACGAGAGTTGCGAGAGAAAACATGACTGATTGCTGTACCATTTTTAGAGTAATGTTTTTGGGGATTAAACGATTGCTCCGGTTTAAATCTAATTCAAATTATCATTTTCGGATTGACGTATTAGTTTATTATCTAATATACGGATCGAAAGCATTCGGGGTGTTTTCTTCAAACCAAAACGTTAAACGATTTAATGTAAGAATGAAAGTGTATTTATTTGCATGGATCGCGGTAAATTAAACATAATCGTGCTTACACCGAACGTAGAAGCATTTCCAATGTTATCTTTACAACCGTCGATCATATCTTACAATGAACAATCGCAGATAAAACACTGTTAGCTAGTTAGACATGATTGGCTGTTCAGATTAATACCCGCCAAATGCTCTTGGCAAACATGCCTTGGAAGTTTCACGTGAAAAAGGGATGCTTTATCTGTTTTAGGTTCTAAGATACTTTGTAACCCTATTTCTGTGTAGATTGCTCGTACTTCATTCGTGGACAGAGTTCGCTTATACGCCATCGCCGGAAGCGGCGGGAACGGGAGTCCTCGGACTGGTGCTCGTGGGGGAGATGGTGGTGACATCATATTAGAATGCCGATCAAGGGCAACATTACGTCATTTTCGCTTTAAAGAAAACAGAAGGCCGAAAGCAGGTCATGGGCAGCATTGTTCGTAAGCAAATCACAGTACCTCGTCCCCAGGTGTCTATAGCGAACTACAGAAAATGAACTGAAGGGTTTGAGTTCTGGAGCGCCTGGCAGAACATATATAAACTGCCATGGCCGACTCCATAGTTAAACTTATCAGTTAATAAGAAACCCATTCGATTAAGCTCAGATTACTCCTCCCAAAGTACAGTAGCATAAAAATATTTGTCAAAGTCAAAAATAATTTTCACACAGTACCTTGTAAATATATTGGCCTTGTTTAGTAATTACTAAAGAGTTGACATATTCAAATTGCACTCAAACGTCAACTAAACGACCCGATAATTGTTTTGACGAAAGATTAGAACAGACAGAGGGAAGTAGATGACTTTCCCGATCGACCCAAAATCACAATATTGTTTAAATATATAACAAGTGCAGCAAAATGTAACAATTTGCAAGAATCGGACCATTTTGCCACCAAACCAAACAAGATCTGGCAGGCGTCTCATAATTTCCGCTTCCGTCTCCATGTAGTTCGTTATAAACAACTGCTGACGAGACAACAAACGACATGAAGTTGAAATAGCGCGCAAACGAGAAATATTGTGAGGATTTTTTTACGATCACGGTAAACCGTAGATTGTCGTCTGATCGACGTTATATTTACAGTACCTCTCTGCGGAACATCTTATTTTATGTTTGTCCATCAATTTCTACGTCTATTAACCGTAATTGCCCAGTGGCAGACACATGGTGAAATATTGGAGTTCGAAAGAAGGTTGACCTATTCACGCCCGCCTGTTGCTATACAGCCTATAGTATATATTCACTTAACCGACGTAAATGCCAGTTGACGGTGTTGACCATGTCAAACGGGAGGGTCCATTGATTCCTGGTAGTATTACACAATAAGATGTCGTGGTTTCTGTCTGAACTACAGTACGTGAAAGGGTCAATTCAAATAAATGCCCTGCGTCGGGCTGTACTAGTAGACTGGCTACCCACCTTTTGATGAAGGGACTTAATCTTTTTTCAGGTACAATTGTTTGATTACGAATCTCAGCTGTTCATTAACAATGATAACAATTTTTCACTTCAGCACACAAGCAAAAAGAGTCCATGGTCAACGAGGTGAGGATCTTATCATCCCTGTCCCTCTGGGTACGTTAGTGAGAGATGAAAGAACTGGTCGCGTAATTGCAGATTTGAACGAAGTGGGACGGCAAGTCAAAATGGTCAGCGGTGGCCGTGGTGGATCTTCAATGACGTCAGCAGGAGGTGGAGAGAAAGGGGAGAGAAGGATGATTATTTTAGAATATAAGATGTACACTGACGTTGGTCTGGTGGGGTGAGTGTGTTTCTATTCTAGCTGAACATTGTTGGAAATGGAATTTGGCCCATTCACGGCTGCCGAGACAGGACCAACTTGTTCCGCACCCCAACATTATGTACATTACATGATGTAATGTACTACCCGCCCCTTCCCCAACTGGAAAGGCAGCCGAAATTCTGGAATACAGGGTAAAGTCTTGGGTGTGCTATTTTTATACTCTCCTCCGCAGAGATTTTCAATAATAGTCTTGGGGTTTTCGAGCATTTTTAACCTTAAACGCAGGCAAGTCCACTTTGTTTCGGGCAATTTCAAATCCAAAGTGGCAGAGTACGCATGTGAGTAAAGGGCTTCTGTGGCGCAATCGTCAGAGCAAGCGCCTATCACCTCTGGGATTGTGGGTTCGATCCTCACATCAAACTAATGACACTAACTTACAGTATGTGAAAAGAGTTAGTCCACGCTCTTCCGAAAGTCGTGGGTTTTCTCCGGGTACTCTTGTTTCCTCCCACAGGGAATGTTGACAGGGTGGGTTGGGATTAGCCCTCTAACGGACCCTTCCAATCCACCGTAGCTGTGCTGCGTGGCCAGACATGAGTCATAAGGTGGCTGCAAGAGGCGCCCTTAGTAAGCCTTCGACTGGATCAAGTTGACTTGCGTCCTTCGCAATTCAGCTTAGCTCTCAGCTGCAAGTAAGGATGATTAGCTTACCCCACTTACTTACATGAAGTTTTCATAGCGAGCCGTTATTTGTGATACTGCCTCTAGTTCAACGTTTCTACTGTTTTATTAGATTTCCGAACGCAGGCAAGTCCACCTTGTTGCGGGCAATTTCAAATGCCAAACCCAAAGTGGCAGAGTACGCATGTAAGTAAACTTTGATGTCAGAAGAATGCATATATTGTTTATATTTACTTCACGTAATCGAAATTTATTGACTATCCTTTGTTAGTTACGTCACTCAGTCCAACGTTAGGAAGAATGCAGTTTGATGATTTCAGTCAGGTTAGTTTTACCCTTCTTAGTAAATTTTGCAAAGTTGTGTCATGTTTCCATCTTTCTACTTTTTACGTCAGTGGCGTTCCCTAACATAATATAGGTTTACTCTCGATTTCAATTTGCTTTTCAAAACTGACTTCCAATGTTTACTTGTAAATTCGAAATTTTTCGTTGTAAAGTTCCGAAGTTTGTTTCGAAGTTCGTTCCGATGATTTACGATAATCAAGTTTAGTAAGTTGTAATTGGCTAGTTAAGTGAGCCAGCCAATCAAATCGCTTGCTATTGAATCATCGTAAATCATCGTAACGAACTTCGAAACAAACTTCGGAACTTTACAACGAACATTCCGAATTTACAAGTAAACATTGGAAGTCAGTTTTGAAAAGCAAATTGAAATCGAGAGTAAGTTGTGGAGTCACACGGCATACTCTTCATGTGCCGAACTTAAAGAATCACAGTCAACCGTGATGCTTCGCGCGCGCTATGTAAATATTTATATAAATGACATTGCACCCTTGTTAGACCTGTTCATAAAATAAACTGTAAATAACTAATGATATACATTAGCTTTATTTTTAACAAAAAACGTTAAGACATTTACCCGGTGTTTTTTGATGAAATCCTGATTCCTGTTCGTCCATGCTTTGATGCAATTCGTCCATGCTTTGACGGAGCAGGATTTCGGCGAACTCTCTATGTTTCGCCCCTATATTCCCAGGCTTTCTTTCCTTTCCGTCCAAAGGACGTACGTTGAACTTGTCAACGATATTCTTTTTTATAGACGCTTCTCGGTCTTCCACGAACGGGAAATACAGAAGCCATGATTAGCCATGTACTTTATAAAATGAGAAAACGTTCTAAAATCATTGGTTAAGATATAAACACACACGCCAAAATCTCGATCAATGATCTATTAACATATTCCAATTATGAGAAATATGACATCGTCTAAGAATATATGCAGATTGATAAGGATACGCTTCCAATGCCAATCTTTCGTCACTGAAGTGGCCTATTTAAATGGCGGAATACAAAACAAGGTTAGCACTTTTTTCCATCCAGCAAACCGCCCTATTGATTTTGTAAAGTCGTTTCTTTTTGGATTTTTTTGGTTAGAGTTAGGGTTGAGGTTAGGGTTAGGGGTTAGGGTAGGGTTTGGGTTAGTTACATAGCCATTTAACACCTCTTCCATCTTCCGAAAATGACGTCAGGTCAGTTTGCTGGATGGAAAATAGTGCTAACCACAAAACAATCAAAACATTTTAGCGCGCAAAGCATCACGGTCGACTGTGATTCTTTAATTGTATTAGATGCGATGCTGGAGCGACACAAGAACGGCAGTGATTTGTTGTTTGTTTCTCTTTTACAATTGGATCGAAAAGGTGGTCCAATTCTAAAAGAGAAACAAACAACAAAATACAATAGAGAGGTTCAGATTTGACTTCCACAACCGCTACCATTATATATTTAACAACTATAAAACATTTTCCGTGTTGATATACAGTTATATCAACACGAGTGGAAATTGGAAAAACGAGAAATTGTGTGGTTTTATATTTGTTTTATAATATTGCACAAAGAAATATAAAGAAATAAATTTTCCGACGTTTCCGTGTTGACATTGAGTTATATCAACACGGCTCTTAGCCAATCAGCGTTCAGAATTTACAAATGCTATATATATATATATATATATATATATATATATATATATATATATATATATATATATATATATATATATATATATATATATATATATACTTCCTAGTTGCTTATACTGAAAATAATTTTGTATTCCATTCTTTATAGTTGACAGTGGTTGATCTGCCTGGTTTAATAGAAGGCGCGCATCAAAACAAAGGACTGGGGCTCAAATTTCTACGCCATATCGAAAGGGCAAGGATGTTGATGTTTGTGGTAAATAAATATGGTTTTAACACAGCTAGATCTCACCCTAGTATTGTAGTGTAATGTGATACCATACATAAAGCCAAACTTTTATATACTCCTCCATTAATATTAATTTCAGACATGATTGAGGGCGGTTATTTGAGAGGGGGAAGCTTAATAGAGAGGGAGCTTAATAGAGAGGGAAAGCTTAATAGAGAGAAGCTTCATAGAGAGGGGAATCTTGATAGACAGGGGAAGCTTAGGAAAACATGGTGTCGGAAGGTGTGAGCTTTAAGAGCTCTTTCGTAATATTTATTATATTGACCATACTTATTAAGAATCTGCCTAAAGATACGAGAAATGACACACATATAAATCAAGTAAACATTGAAAAACTCGTAGCCGCATGGGAAACTTGTCAAGTGAAAATTTCTTCCGTAGTACCGAAGTCGGCGATAGAGCGAGACCTGAAGACAAGACAAATTCTAACGCCGAGCAGCAAATGTGTGCTGGCTATTAGACTGCTAAACTGTTGTTTAGCAGCAAATCTCATTCTGCTATGTAATGATGTAAATGAAAATCCAGGTCCTGATCAAGTTAACGTTTCAGAGATTAAAGGCCTTCGTATTATTCATCTCAATGTATGCAGCCTACGCAATAAGATGGCTGAAATCCGCCTTTTCTGTGATAGACACAAGCCACACATTCTTTCATTGAACGAGACGTGGCTTGATGGATCATTTCCTGATAATCAAATGTCACTAGCTGGATATAGACTTCTTAGACAGGATCGAGATTGCTATGGCGGTGGTGTGGCAGTTTATGTGGATGAAGCCCTGGACTTTGAACGTCTGGAAGTAATTACTGACATTGAAGTTATATGGTTTGAGTTGAAGCCGTCGAAGGGTAAGAATATACTGTTTGGAGCTTTCTATAGACCTCCTAACTTTGATGCTATAATATTTGTTGATAAGCTTGAAGAAATGTTAAGAACCTTTGCTCGGGATGATATTGAGATGGTTTTATTGGGAGATTTTAATTTTAATTTGGCGTGCACTGCTTCATTAAATACGTCAGCTAGACGTTTTCTACGAGCCACAAGACGGTTTTGTTTACAACAACTGATTAAAAAGCCCACCAGGGTTACAGAAATTTCAAGTTCATTGATCGATTTAATATTCACTACAAAGCCTGAACTTTATCGTTCTGGAGTATTCCCGGTCGGTTTTACGGACCATTTTGCTATCTTTGGGGTGAGAAAATTACATCGAGTAAAGTCCCTTCCACCTAAATTTATTCGGGCAAGAAATTATAAACATTTCGACACTG